GTAAAGTATGGCATAAATTTCATTCAATGCAGTTTATGCTATTATGTCAGTTTTCAGAAAGTGGACTTACACATAAGGGAGATGGAATTTTCCCTATGTTACCCAAAATATATGTGTTCTCCAAGGAAACAAAAACTGGAATAGAAAAACCTACTTTCCATACCTCAGTTAAGAGCCATACGACCTCCGCCCACAGACATGGTATCAAATCCACCAAAGACACTGTTCAAAGAATGCTTGCCTTACACAAATAATGTATTGCAATGCTCAAACCATCAAAGGGAATTTTTTTTTTGATTGTGTGCTCTTAAAAGAAAGAACCAACCAAACCAAAACACTGTATTTGGACCAATTCTTCTCTTCCTTGGCATAAAGCCTTCCCTCTTAGCTGTCTGTTCATCACTCCCAGGTTCTAGTACACATGCAAGAAAAATACTGAAATAAAAACACTGCAAGAACAGGGGAAGCTGCAGTTTTCTCCGCAGGGTTCAAGAAAGACCGAGCAGTTCTGATTTGCCTGAAATTGAAGGGAATTACTGGGTGTCCAGATATTCTTTTGACACCTCTGAAAATATTCTAAACTTAGACTGATGGCAATCTGACTGTATCTGCCCATTATACACAAACGCACTCATACATAATTAGCTAAGGAATAATCTTTTGTGGTGCTCAGAAGGATTGAATAAAACCCATCCATTTTTCCTTTCCATCAATAAATAAACCCAAGCATGCAACTATGTTTTTATGCAGAATTCTTCCTCTTTTTGCCGGCCTGTTGGTGTCTGCCCTCTGTGTATGTCAGCAGCGCTGTAACCAACAGGTCATTCCCACTCGCCCATTTCCAGTTAAAGAGTTATGCAAAGAAGCAGAGAAGGGGAATGCATTATTTATTATAGAGTAATGTATTAATATTACACATCAGTGGGAGGTATTCCATAGCTCTGTTCCAATAACAGTGGTTGAGGAAGTTCCTGGTATCAAAGGATATCAAATTAGTTGAACAGAATACTGTTGCTATATACTTTAAAGCAACTGTTAATAGATGAAATATATATATACTTCCATATATAGCATGTAATAATAGCTCTGTGTCTACCAGTATTGCTATAAGCAGTAGAATCAAGGACTGGTAGGTATCCTATATTCATACACAGTCTGCAATGAACAATATGAAAATATATTTTATGAGCAGTCTGTCAGAAATACTTTTGTATCTTTGAAGTATGTCTCATTTGCCTTTGTTATTAGAGAGGCCTATAAAATCCAATAAGTGCTAATGCGATGTGACATGCTGTTGGCTAATTTTTAAACACTTGTTAATGTCTGTGTGGTGCCTTGTTCGTACAAACAATGTCTGTGTGGTGCCTTGTTCGTACGAACACCTTAGTAGGCAGACAGACCACAGCCCCTCTGTGGCATGAAAATCTAATTCAGAAGGAAGCTTTTGCCAATGCAGCCTTTCAGCATCTCCAGTGTGCCTCTACTTAAAAGCTGTGTGCTTTAGGTGTTGAGTTCTGTGGGTGTCTGGATAAGGTCAATGTTATCTAATCTTTATTATTCTTATGCGCTGGATCATCACTCATTTATTTTGGTTTGGGCTCGCCAGACTGATTGCACGTACAAATGCATTGAGGAGAACAGACTGACTGCAGAAAGCTGGCTTCACTAGAGCAGCAGGCTGGCTTTTCAAAATCAGGTGCATGAGGGAAAGTCCTCATTTACCATGACTGTGCATGCAAATGTAGTAACTGTATTCACCGTGGTCGCTTCCACGGTGCAGCTTTGACCTTTTTGCTGCACAGCAGTATGAAACGATAATAGCTGGTATGGATTAATCAATCACGTCTCTCCACGGGGAACAGTGCTGTTTTCAGTCACAAGCACACTTGGATGAAAAGCGTGTTTGTCTTCTCCCTCAAAGACCAAACCAAGACAAAGACCAATTTTTTTTTTTTTTTTTAAGAGGAAAGAGGTGTAAAGGGTAGGAAAGCTGGGGGACCCAAGAGGTGACGATCTTCCTGTACTTGATGGAGACAGATTAGACAGCTTTCCCACTGCCTTTAACACAATACAGAGGTGCCTGTGGGGAGGACCTTAGCATTCAGGGCCAGACACAGCCTTGTAGTGTGATCACACTACTGCTCATCAGCAGACTGTAGTGAGGGCATGCATGCCCAGAAGGTAAGGTCAGGGAGCATCTCTCTTCAGGTGCTAAGGTGTATGTGCTAAATTCACAACCTGTGATACTTTGAGAGAACCTGTTAGTGTGCTCATATCCTGAGGTAGGCTCTGACCCTCTTCCCAAAATCACCAAGTTGCTGAGGCTGGGAAGCCCCACTGGAGATCCAACCCTCTTTCCTCAAAGCAGCGTCAACTAGAGCAGGTTGCTTAGAACTGTGTCCAGTTGGGCTTTGGGTATCTCTAAGGATGGAGACTCCACAACCACTCTGAGAAACCTGTTGCAGTGTTTAATCACCCATAAAGTAAAAATATTTCTTCTTAGGTCTGAACAGAATTTCCTGTATTTCAGTTTGTGCTTATTGCCTCTTGTCCTTTTCCTAAGCACCACTGAGAAAAGTCTGGCTCCATCTTCTTTACTTCTTCCATCAGGTATTGATACACACTGATAAGGTACCCCTGAGCCTTTTCTTGTCTAGGCTGAACAGTCCCAGCTCTCTCAGCTACTTCTCTTAACGACAAATGCTCCAGTCTGTTAATTATCTTCATGGTCCTTTTCTGCACTCACTCTAGTATGTCCATGTCTTTCTCATGCTGGGGAGCCCAGCACTGGACCCAGCACACGGGTGCTATGGGTGCTTCCTTATTCATGTGCATACACTTAAAGTGGGGCCCTTTTAGCCCTGCTATGTTGATTATGAGATTTCTCTTGTCCACATCACCCTGATCACTTAACTTGTCTCATTGGTACACTGCTTCCTCAATTGATTGCTATTCCTCATCTTCCTCTCCTGTTGCTCCTAATTTAAAGCTCTTGTCAACAGTTGACTAGACTGTAGGCAAAAATGCTTTTGTCCTGATTAATCAGGTAGATCCCATCTCTTCCAAGAAGTTCTTGATCGTGAAAGGTGTTCTCATTGTCATAAAAGCCAAATTCCTGTTGCTGACACCAGATGCACAGCCAGTTCTTGATCTGCTGGATCTGCCCAGCTCTCCTCAAGCCATTTCTCCTCACCAGCAGTACTGAGAACACCATTTGGGCTCTCTGCACTTGACCATCACGCCCCTTCCAGGGTCAAAATGAAACTTGTTATTGTTGTGAATATAACGGGCAACAGTTCTTCATGGATTTGCTCTTCATGGCAGAAAAAGACATTTCTACTGCTCACTCCCCTTCTCTCATTTCATCCCCATGCAACAGATGAAATCAGGATTGGAGTAAGATAATCTGTGAAAGAAGAGCAGCACAGCCTTTGGCTGATACTATGCTTGCTCTGCTAGCAGAGAAACTACAATCCTGTTAGTCCTCCCAACCAGATCTGTCCCTGGAAGTCATGGCTAAAGGCTAGTGCTTTCCCAGGCCTATGGAAGAATGTTGTCATAGTTCAAGACATGGCATGCTGTTTGTGTGGTATTTGCTTTTCTTCTGGAGAAAAAGAGTTACTGAAGCATTTTTTCTTACACTTGTGTAATATAAATAAATATTTTTGGATGCAGGAAGCTATCCTTTCCCTAACCCTTGGGAGCTGGTGTCCAAACTTCCTTGGGTTTGCCAAAGTAATCAGAAAGGCAAACAAGCCGATGGATGAGCTTTATTCATTGACCTGTCTGCACTCTTGCCTAGGAATGCATTTTAACTGATTGTGTGTTTTGGGTCAGCAGATTTATACAGTTCACACTTCATTATCCAACAAGCATAGAATACTCAGTAGTGATCTTAAGTAGTGCAGTTCTGCAGTTTCTGGGTTATTCCTGAATGGGTCATAGAATTTTCGAAGTTAATCAGCACAGATTTCTGCTAACAACTTAAGTAGTTCTCTGCTTATAAGTTCCCCCTCAAAAGAGGGGATGGCAGATAGTGGGTTTCCATCTCTCTTGGAAGTGGTCTGACTGACATATTGAGGAGCACTTGAGTGCTTTTGAAGACACAGAACAGGACTAGATAAGTGACAGAAAGTTGAAAAAGGCTGTTTTTGCCAACATAACCCATTCCCACACTTCATTTTCGGATAGACATCTCATCACAGGGGACTCTTCAGTCATCAAATCCTCCCTAGGCAAATATGGTCTAGTCCTGACACTGAGGTATGCACCCTCTAGCCATCAAAGTGGCCATTCACCAAGTTTGGAAACACAGATCTTCCCTCAGGCCAAGGATATTTCATTGTGTTCTTCCTTTATATCAGCCTGTGGGAACTGTTACAAGGAAAATATGAAATATGAGCAGTGAATGCATCTTTTGCAATAAGCATAAATGGAAAATAAGACAAAACCAAATAGTGCAAATTACTTCCCCTTTACGCCTTCATTTCGTTATTCTTTGTTTTGCCTTTGGGGTTTAAAGTGCGTGTAGTAAGTGAAATGCTTAAAGTATTAGCTATTTGCCTTTGTTTTCACTACGGACATTGTTGAAATCCTTTGAAAAGGAAGTCACATATCTTGAAGATAAATAGCAAAGTAATTCTTGGTGCTAGATAAGAAACTGTAGCAGGAAAAAGAGTCAGTGGACTGTTCATAGGACTATTTGACATCAGGGAGAGAAGTGGTTAAATGGCAGGGGTGATGTTTTCTTGAAAGAGGTGACTGGTGCAGGGAAAAATAAATGATACTCACACAGCTTAGTGGCAGAGTGAGGAAGGAAACTGTAACCCCGAGGAGAATCTGGAAAGAAAGCCATCACAGGGGTGTGTGAGCTGCTTACCTAATGTCTGCATTGGCTTCAGCTCCACAGAGCTGTAAGCATCTGGCATGGGGGCATGGGACATGGTGCCTTCGCACTTCCTCCAGACTGAGTACCTTTCGGGCTGTTTTTCTCTTTACAGGAACTCAGACCTTTGTATAATAAAAGGTGCCAGTTTTATTCAAGTGGAACAGGATTCCTGTACGATGCCCACCAGACAGAGGTAAAAAACTCACCTCATCCCACGTTCATTTCTGCTGTGCTTTGAGGGGCTGGGGAGGAGGGAGGCAGGTGTTTGAGCGCGTGTCTGTGCATGTAGGGTTGAGAGAAACCTTACTGGGTTTTTGTCCCGCAAATGACTCCCCACTTGTCCAAGCCTCTGATGACTGCAAATCATTACAACCAGTGAGGTTTTGAGTCATCATCAGTGTTTCTATCCAGTACATTACTCTGGGACTGGAATGATTCCTAGTCCATCTATACTGTATAATAGCTGTCTGGAATGTATTTGTCACATTGGCATCTTTCTCCAGGGAGGTTTTTGGAGACTTCAAGTGGAATAGGAAATATCTAAATGAATCCATTTGCATTGTCCAGAAGACTTCAAATCTTCTCTGTATTTATCCAGCACAGGCCAAGAATGTCAGTGGTTTGAATTCAGCTTTTTTATTATCTCAATGACATTAACATGGTTGGAAAAGTGCCCAAACCCAAATGGCTAGCCTCCCAAGAAGTCCAGATTTTGTTTCTTTTTTTATTTTTCATTTTATTATTGTGGTAAACTGGTGGGAGTGAAGAGAAAATCAAGGAGAGCAGGACTGAGAACAGCTAAACAGTGGTATAACTTACAAAAAGCCAGATGTCCTTCATCACCATTCCTCCCATGGCTAAGAAACAGCGTATGGGGAATGTTACTGTCAATAATTCTAGGCAGATTAGCAAAGTATATTACCAGGTTAAGCAGCTAATACTCCTTAAATCTTGCTGCTAGGGCACCTCATTGTTGATTCCAGACAGCGTATGACAAAAATATTTCACTGACCTCCTCGCCTAAAGACCTACTCTGACAAACTTACGATCTGTGACAACAGCCTTTCCTCTGAGTTTTACTCCATCCCTTCTAAAGTGTGTGTGTGCACACTCAGACATGGCCTGAGAAATGCCTCTGATTCCTGTAATAAGCATGTAGCTGGTGTCACACTGACCACAACTCCCTGTAGGTGACCCCAGCCTCGGGCTTCTGGCCAGACAGGTTTCCCCAGCTCTGCAGATTCTGAGAAAGTCTAAAGTTGGGCCACCCAGAGCTCCTTGCTCTGTTCTGAAAAAAAAAAAAACACCAAAAAACCCCCCCAAAAACCCACACCCAAAAAACCCAACAAAACCAAACCACCCTGTATCTTTTAAAAGTGTGGTTAGTTTGTAATAAAATTCTGGTGTCATTGTCCAGTGATCTAGAATCAGCATGTGCCACTTCAGAGTTAATGATCCGTGGCATTTGAACTTGGCTTTTGCTTTTCCAAAGTTAGCCAGCTAGTGAGCAGGGGCCATGCTCTGCATGCCAGGCAAACACCTAACTAGGAAGGCAAGTTGTTCACTGAGCCCAAGTTTCCTTTTGATTGCCATCTGTAGCCTGTGAGCGGTCTCCAGCTCATTTAGTTTGCCTGGTTTGCTTCTTCTCTTTGCTCAAGGCAGAAAGAATTTGATTTTCTTGCAATTACCATGAGGTGAGAACATCTCTTCAATTGCTGCTGAGGGGATAGACAGACACAAACAGCCAGAACATGTAAAAGCTAAATGTCTGGTCAGTGAAATGAAATAATAGGTCTTGACATGCAGAATACCCACAAATGGCCTGTTTCCACCACCCTTGCTCACACCACACAGTAATTTGTTTATTTTGGTTTATTCACTGTTCTCCTAAAAAGGAGTGTCTTGCTCTTTGCGTGTTTTAAAAATGCAGTGGTAAAAATAGGCAACTACAGTAACTCCCTTGGCCACTAATATAATATACCTTGTAGTCTGGAAGCTGCTAAAAACATCTTTAAGATCTTGCTGATCTCTCACTTTTGTACTTCTGGCCTTACTGATGCTTGGAGAGGGAAAAATTACTTTTACTTCCTATCAGAAGTGGTCCCCAAAGCCATGCATCAGAATAAACCACCTTTTTAGCAGCCCTCTCCACTTTACGAACCCCTCCGATCCCAATCGTGCACATTCCCATCTGTAATGGGAAAAGGGTATTTTAACTAGGCAGGTCCTAGGCCATTTTGACTGCATGCCAGGGGTCAAAGCACTAGGGCGTCCCAGCAAAATGGCTGTGGTAGCGGATGCACCGGCACGCTGCGCTCCAGGGTCAGGTTTCAGCCTGCTTTGAGAAGTAGCCAGATGTGATGTTTTAGTCACTCCTGAGCTGGATCTTGATTAAGCTGATGCAGTCTTTGATGGTAGCGCGCTCCACTTCTGCAGTGAACAGCAGCTCAGGCTGAGCTGCAGCTGAGTGGGACTTCAGGCCAGCAAAGCCCTTAGGTGAAATTCCAGTTAAGTTCAGACATAACAGAACAAGGTGAACGAAACGAGGTCCTCAGGGTGAGATACTCTTGTGGCATGTGTCTGTATCAAGCTGTGAGCTCCATTTCCAGATTGCAACCTAGACCGAGACCATCCTTTTATAACCTAACTTCCATTTTGGGTTAGACGAGCTGATTTATATGAGACACTAATCACAGGTACAGCCTTGTCCTGGGCAGCAAAGCAATCCCAAGGCATCATTTTAACTTCCTTTTAATTTGAGCTTTGTCACCCAACTTCCACTGTTCAAGAAAATCCTGCTAAGGATAAGTGTGTCAAGTCTGTGACCTGCTGCAAGATGGACTTTCTCTGGTGCTTGGATGAGGGTGTGTTTAAGGCTTTCCTTTTTGCTGGGAACAAGCACATGAGGAGTAAAGACTCCTCAACAGTGGCAGTTTTCACACTGAAAAGGATCCACAGATACAGAACTCATGAGCTGAGAAACATTTGGTTTAACATCTCATGGGGAGACTGTCCCACAGACTAACACATTCATGGCTAAGCAGAACTGTCTGACAGAAGCTTTTCAAAAGCAAGCCCCTTCTACTTTTTCATTATGATGAGTTTTCCATTCAAGAGTACATTTTCTTTGCATTTTGTGAACAAAATACTTCTCAGTGGTTACAGTACATTTTTTCTATCAAAATAAAAACTATAGAAAGAATGTATTTCTGACCTGCTAGCTTTTAAAACCTGACACTTCTCCAGGATTTCAGATTCCATAAGCTAAAAATCTCAGAGGAGAAAAGCCTTACATATAAAATATTTCAATTGGCCTGTAGTGCCAAATAGAAGTGATTAATACTTACCACATTAAGGAGTCATTAAAATGGTTTCTTGTCTGGATGGAGAGTGGCTTACGTGTGCCTACCTTTATTGTTCTAACATCTGTCCATCCCTGCAATTCCTGCTCACACAAATAAACCCTTTCAGTTTTCTGTTCAAGAGCCTGAAGTAAAGGGTACTTATTTGCTGGAGTGCTTGGGTCTTTTCTGAGCAGTTTTGTTTCTGGGTTTGGAGATTGTTCTTGTTGTTGTTCCTAATTATTTCCTTCTTCAGGGTGGCGTTACGGAAGGGAGAGAGCTCCCAGTTTTGGAAACTGTTCAGATAAATTGACTTCTTTACCCATTTCCACACTATAATGGAGTGGTATTCTTATTCACTTGAGTGTCTTGCTGTGGTGTATCTCTCAAGACCCATGTTCCCTGCATCACAGCCATAGGGATCCGCATCTTGCAGCTGCAGAGTCTGGGTCTTAGCAAAATAGCAGCGGGCAGCGCAGCAAAGGGCTTGAAAACTCTGGCAGCCCTGGCTGCAGGGCAGTGCTGGAGGCTCTGGGCTCCAAAGTGTAACGCCCTGAGACTCAGGGGCTGTTGTCCCAAATAAAACTTAAGGGAGCTCAGGGATGTCCTTCTGCTCTGCAGTTGTGGATTTTGGAACCTCAGGATCTTTCTGCACAACAGGTAATAAAAGCTGACACCTCAGTAACTGCTGCTTTGTGGTCAGTAGGATGATTCACACAACAGTGAAACACTGAGAATGAAAGTCAGTTTCTTCTTTTTTGGCAGGTGACATGTTATACCTTAAACAGCAAGTGCCAGCTGAAAATAAAGAGTAACACATGCTATTGCTGCGACCTGTACAACTGTGAGAAGTAAGTACTTGCGTGCAGTCGCTGGCGCCTGAGAAATTCTTGGTTGTTTGACCCCTCTCTGAAATGATGGCAGGGGGGTGGGGGGCCTGGACAAGCAACACGAGGGACTTGTATGCTGAGTAATCCAGTTCCTCTGCAACTGAAATCCTGATGCAGGCTGAGAAGAGGTCAGGGGTTGCATATTAGTGCTGGCATTATTTCAGTTTCTTTTCTTTTAGATATGTCAATAAGTTCTTTGCTGTGTTATCAAAACCGACCACTCAGTCATAGCCCTGTCAAGGTGTACTGTTGATCTTGAAATGCAGTTTTCCCATTAGATTTAATGAAACCTTTTTTTTTTCCTACCAAACTGGGGGAAACAAAATAAACAGGAACATAGGTGTCCATGAGCAGACTGTGTTGTAGGCATATGCGGAGCTGTTTTGTTAGCCACAGCCTCTGTAGGCATGGGATTGTGCTAAATTGTCATAGGATGGATACAGAGGGTCTTATGAGGGTTTCCTGAAGCTGTCCATTTGACTTCGTCATTCCCAAAGCGTGAGATGTCAGAAGAGAGGAGAGGAAATGTCTGCATATGTTTATGAAGATCAGCACAGGGTTGCCATGCAGCGATTTAACAAGAGTAAAAAAGGTGCTTAGGAAAACTACATCACAGCAAAGTCCAAGGCTTTATAATGTGGTAGACAGATAAGGAACTCACACAATTGACTGGCCACCTGGCACACAGAGATTTCAGCTGCAGGCAGCACCATGTCTTGTCACATGCGAGAAACTGGGGCGTTTCCCAGAGCACACCTTCTGCTTGACTCACCCTCTGCACACCTCAGTGACATCGTACCATCCACTCTCATGCAACCTCTGCAACCCTCTACAGCTGACCCACAGTCACTCCTCTTTCTTTCCCTCTATGTACATCTCTTCTTTCTTCCTACGTCTCCTGTTTTATTTTGGTTTTGCCATCTTTTCACATGCTAGCAGCCTTGAATAACCTCAGACCTCTGTAAGCCTTGGCTAGCATGCTGCCAGACGAACATTTTAGGTATAGGGGAATGAGGCTGGCACGTTCTACGCAAGGCTTCTGCATAAAAGAGTAGCCCTTGCCCAGATCCTGACTCAACTAGAGAAGCAAAATGAAATTTGGCACTAGAGGGAAGTCATCTATGCATGAGTATTTCTCATGCACATGGAGACACAGTGAGTGCAGTTCTGTGGAATGGATCAAAATTCCCTTTAAATGTTAGTCTTTTGATTCTGTAAGAAGCGTTAAATCTGGACATGTTGGAGCTAATACAAAACAGGTGACATGGGAAAGGTAGAGTATACACAATTTTGGTACCTTTTCTATGACAGACAAATGATGGAACATCATAGTTGTGATGCAGTATATTTACACTGGGAATGTTTTCTTCTGTGGTGCACAATTAACTGCTGCATGTTCATAGAATCACAGAATGGTTTGGGTTGGAAGGGACCTTAAAGACCATCCAGTTCCAACCCCCCTGCCAGGGGCAGGGACACCTTCCACTAGGCCAGGTTGCTCCAAGCCTCATCCAGCCTGGCCTTGAACACTTCCAGGGGTGGGGCATCCACAGCTTCTCTGGGCAACCTGTGCCAGTGCCTCACCACCCTCTCTGTGAAGAATTTCTTCTTGATAGCTAATCTAAACCTCCCCACTTTCAATTTAACCCCGTTCCCCCTTGTCCTGTCACTACAGGCCCTTGTAAAAAGTCCCCCCCCAGCTTCCTTGTAGGCTCAAGTTAACCCATGGGTTAACACTGAGTGGAACAGCCCAACCCAATACAGAAGAGAACAGGGATCTTGGAGGAGTGGAAGTGTTCGAAGTTATCAAATAAGGCAACCAAAACTGTTGCCTTAAATCATAAGGTAGCAACAAGGAGTGATGAGGAATACTCTCCCTCCCTCCAAAGATCCTCAGTGCCTTTTTTCTAAGACATTGGGTTTGTCTGAAACACCTGGGACTGGTCACTGCTGAGACAGTATTCAGTGATAGAATTCAACATGTGTGTTTTGCCATTGTCAGCAATCCACAGTGGGCAGCAAGATCTTATGGCATGGCATGGGCAAATCCAGAGTAAAGGAGCAGTCTTGCTGCTCTGCACACTTGGCAATTCCAGTTCACAGGACAGCTGGAGAGAAGTAGGAGGAGACACAGTCACACAAGTGACTTGGTGTCAGCCATGCGATAGACCCGTACGCAGGCAAGATCGCAGGTCAGATTTCCTCAGCCTCGTGGCAGCTGAAGCTATGGGTTTATTTAGTTAAACAACATTTGGGCTCATGATAGGGCCCAAGTGAACTCAACAGTAGGAGATCCACAGCGCCAGAACCATGCCCCACAACAAATGATTGGACATTTCCAGGAATTACTGTGCTTGGCTTGATTCTTCCCAGAAATGTTGGGGGTTTCTCCACGCTGCTACCTTCCTCTTCACAGCTGTCCCTAACCACCATCTCACTGCTGCCCCAGGCACTGAGGATGAAGGAACAGAAGAGTGAGCACAAATTACTCACTTCTGGTTTCTACCATAACAGTGCAAAAACAGACTTGGCATTTAAAAAATCTTTCCAACTGAAATAGCTGCTCTAGGAGCTCATTAGTGGGCTAGCATGGAGGCAGGTACTGGAAAGAACTGCAGGAAACTGTGGTTTCAAATTTTGCAGTAGAGTATTTCTGACTTTCAGCAAGACGATGAGGATTAACTTCACAACATGCTTGATTTACAATAGCCAGTGCAGTGTAGAAATGTGAACAAACAAAGATTTCTGGATACTGTGATCCATAGTGTAAAGGCACATCTTTATACTGTGCTGTGTTGCATCTGTTAATTTGGAACCGCAGACACCATAAACAAATGTAGCCAGCTGGCAAAATCTCCCTTCCTGTGGTTGAAGTAATGCTTAAGCAACTTGCCTTCTCCAGTTTCAGAGGTGCCAGCGGATTTCCAGGTGAGCTGGGACAAAAAACAATGCTAAGCATGCTTTAGGTGGTAGCCGAATGACCAGGGCAGCATCCGTATGCCAGGACTATGCCTGTATTCAGAGACCCTGAGCAGAAAAAAAAGAGTCCCTGCTGGTGCACGACACTGATCAGTCAAACTGGGGTTGGTATTAGTTGGACCACGTGTTTAATGCTGGCATTTAGCAGAGCCAATTTTTGTTTACAGTAGAGCTTTCTCCAGTTCAGTGGTGTTTGGTGGGAGCATGGGTGAAGTACCTTGCCAAAGAGAGGAGGGGTTAGATCCTCTGGTGCACTGTATTATGGGCAAAGCCATACCCACCGCAGTGATGTTTTCTGCATTCCTTTTCAGTTCAGAGCAGTCCTCCAGCTACTATGAATTTCTCGGCGTGAGCAGCTGTCAGGATGTGGTTCACCTGTATAGGCTGCTGTGGTCCTCCACAGTCCTCAACATCATCGGGCTGTTTCTGGGGATTATTACGGCAGCCATTCTTGGGGCATTTAAAGACATGGTAAGGCTCACGGTCTTTGCCTTATGTGAGGACTTCTGTGCTTGTTGATGTTATCAAATGGGGTTTTTTATCTGTCAAACAGAGGAAGCATATGTGTACAAAGGAGGCACTTTATACATGTTTCCTGTGTGATCTGGGAGTCTGGAGTCATATCTTTTGACTAAGCTGTTGCCAGCTGCTCACTGCTAAGTAGGTCAAGCCTGGTCAAATGCATGAATGGAAGGGAAAAAACAGGCGTCTGTGTGAACAGATGCTGGTGATTCACTTAGTGCCATTGGGTTTTTTTCTTCTAGTTCAGCACTGAACTGTGAACCATCATAGAGTTTGAGAAAGCTAGTTTGTAACTCATGTGCAACTCAGCTCCTGGTTGTGACTATTTGACCTTACATTGTTCTTTTCCCCAAAATGAGGATTAACTCTCAAGTACCAGTCAAGTTTTTATTTAAATGGTTGTATTGAGGTCACATTAACCTCCTCTTTTGTTTCACTAAGGAATACTACCCTCTAACTGCTCCCTGTGCCACGCCACCGTGTTGTGCTGATGTGCACCACTGTGTTCACAAGAGGCTGTGTGCTAGAAGGGATTCTGTAACACAGTGCCTCATCTGCCAAGAGTTTCTAACATGTTAAAAGGGTGAAGTTGCTGTTTCTGGGATTATCACTGCCAGTGGTCATGTTTGCTAATGCAGTGCCTAAAGACCAGCTAAGTGGCTTATGATTTACTAGGCACTCAGAAGAGTAGTTGGTACCAACCCAAAGAGCTTCCAAACTAAATAGGCAGAGGTGTGGGCATGGAGGTCAAATGAATGAGCTGAAGGAAGGTGTGATAGCAGCACGGGTCATCTTAGATCCATGATGTTTCTGTTGACTATTCCAGAGGACAAAACTAAACAGAAAGACAGGTGAAAGGAAAGAAGAGAGGGATGGAGCAGGGAAGAGAAAGCAAGAGGGGTGATAGGCACACCAGGGAAGCAGGCTAAAGGGGAAGGGGCTGCTCAGAGCTGGCAGCCAGTGTGCCAAGGACCCAGTCAGACTGGAGGCCATCCAAACCCTGCTCTGCCCACCCATCCTCCCTTAGCATGCATGTCCAGGCTATCTACAACATGTGTTGGCTGCTTAAAACCATGTGACAGAGCAGGGCCATATGAATTATTTGAAATTCACCTTTGTTAAGGCTTGCAAAATGTTTGCCGGAAGTAGCCCTCTCTCCAGCTTAAGGCAAAAAAGCACACTGAGCCTTTGCAGGTACGAAATGTGCTGCTGAGCTGTCCTTTGTGTGAGGGGACTCTTGAAAGGAGCTGATAACAAATTGCAGCCAGCCAGTAAAGAATTGTGGTTGCCTGACAGTAGGGAGTGGATGCAGCTTTTCCAGCTTAATTCATCCCTTCCCTGCGAGAGGAGCAATGGCAGAAGGGGAGCAGAAACAACCACAGTGGGAAGTGAGCAGCTACCTGAGGTGGGGAAGGTGGGCAGCACCTACACTTGTTAGAACACTGCAGCTTTCCAGTGCTGCTGAATACTTTCCTCTGCTCAGCAGATGGGTGCGAGTGCCTTCACCAAGGGCAGCTGTGGGAGTTGCTAGCGTTCTTCCAAGATGGGGCAGGGTGCAGAGAGCCAGCCTGAGTCCACCTCATCTGTGTCGCACAAACCAAGGCTCATGTGGGATTTGGGCTGATGCTTCTTAGCAGGGCGAGCTCCTCTGTGCTGCAGGGGGGCCATCGCTGCACTGCTTGCAGGGGACGTCAAGCCGAGGAGGCTTTTGTGGGAGAAATGGGGTCTCCGTAACCTGGCATGTTCCCTTGCTGGGAGGCAGACCCTGGGCCAAGGTCTGTGTCCTCTGACTGGGCAGCATAAAGCCATGCAAGGAAATTGCAGCAGCAGTGGATGTGCAGCTTTCCCCCAGACTCAACTAGAGTGAGTCTGTTGGGGCTTCAGCTCAAAACCTGATCTGAATAAGCTGTTGAATGTTTGCTCTGCAGCCGGAACAGGAAAAAAACCCTCACTAGTTCAAGGGACAGATGAGTTTGTGTCAGTTACCTCAACACAGGAGCCATGCTATGCTTGTGAAAGTGTTACTTCAGCAGCAAACCAAAATGCAACTTGTGCCCACCTGGGCTTTTTTCAGGGTCCTTTGGAGTGACGTACCAGAGCTGGTTTGCTAATCTGGTGCTTGATTTTGTTAGGAAAGGAGTAATTCTTGGGGAAAGATGAGGTCCAAGAAAACAGCAAGTAGAAGAGGGAGAGAAAGGGGCATAAGAAAAAAAACCCTTCAGAATGTGTGGGAGAATTCTGGATGTCACCTTTCTATGGAAATGCTCACTGGCATTTTGCAGGGAGAGCTGCAAAGCTCGCTGGAACGCCTGAGGCATTGCTCTGAGGTTGACTTTCAGAAAACACAAGGCCAGGCTGACTAGTCAAACAAAAACCAATATGTTTATCTCTGGGGAATGGTGGCAGCCAAAAAATGTTACAAAGGGAAGAGTTTACAAAACAGTGCCGTTGCCTCTGAGCCCATCACATTTCCTGGACAGAAAAAAAGGAAGTGTTGTTTTGGCTGCTGTGGGTTTTCTTTCTTGTGACAAATTCCCTGCAGACCCTGGCACGGTCCCCAGTCCCCATGGTTTTGCTGCCTGGCTCAGTAGGAAACATTTCATCCTATCCAGCCCTCCAAGGTGTCAGCTCTCAGTGGCCCCCTGTATCACCCGTGGGGCTGCCCTCTGTGATCTGCTGGGTGCTGGGGGAGCTGCAGGTACGACAACACAGTCCTTTTCAGATCTACAGTGTGTTTGGATATTAGATGCCAGCTAGGCAGTTACCTTAAAGTCACCTTTAATAAAAAGCAAATTAAGGTATAATGTGAATAGCAGTATGTAATTAGAGTACCTAAAATGGTAAAACACCGTATTTCTTACAGAAGACAAAGGTGAAGAAATGCATGGAAAACTCACTTGCTGGTACTAAGATTTAATCTAGAAACGCCCTTCCCTGCCCCAGTACTCATCTGATGGCTTGTAGATGTTTTGCCGACACACCTTGCCAAGGAATCTGCCTGCCCTGCGTTTAGTGTTGCATTGATCAGAACTACTGATGGTCCTGGGGATGGGGGTTGCAGTTTGGTTCCCCCTTCCCCTTTGCATGGAAAACTCACTTGCTGGTACTAAGATTTAATCTAGAAACGCCCTTCCCTGCCCCAGTACTCATCTGATGGCTTGTAGATGTTTTGCCGACACACCTTGCCAAGGAATCTGCCTGCCCTGCGTTTAGTGTTGCATTGATCAGAACTACTGATGGTCCTGGGGATGGGGGTTGCAGTTTGGTTCCCCCCTCCCCTTCCCCTCCAGTTAGTCTCCTTAGAGTTCTCAAGGATATCTGAGCAGATTAAATCTCATTCCCTTAACCCCTCTCCTCTTCCCTCACCCTGCTCTAAAAACGAACACAAAAGGAACCCCTCATTACTGAGCTACTTGCCATGTGTTCACGTCGTGGCACTTTGTGCAACTCAAGGGGCAGTCTGACATTAAAAGTAGTTGTAGCTCAAAAATAAACGGTGGCAGGTCTGTGGGATCAGCGTGCCAACCTGCCTCGCTCCGCAGCCACACAGCGAGCAGCAGCCTGGGTGGCTGGGGGCGGGTGGCTAGACAGCCGCTCCGGCCACAGCCTGGTTTCCCCACACTCCCTGACCTGAGGTGCCTGCATGGCACTGGCAGCCCCCCTGCCCAGTTCACAGTTCCTTATCTATTTGACTTGGGTGGTGCTTCAGTTTAAAATGTCCCCACCTATCCCTGTGTTTTAAGTGACTAATTTAAGATAGTGACATTATTGGAATACTTACTAAAAGCATCTAACCAGCTTCAGGACCTGCAGATCGTAGCTGGCTCCAGGCTGAGACCAAACAACCTGATAATCAGGTGTTTTGATCAGTGGATTTGGGGTGGATGACTCCCCAGAACTGTCTTCTAGGACTGTTGTGATGTTCATCCTTAGCAATCGGAGATCATTGCTGCTACGGATGGAGAGAACATGAGAGGGCTGAGAGAGGTTGCTGGGAGAAGGGCAGCAGCACCCACACCAGAAAGTGGGTGGCAGATGCAGAACAGGCACCTGTGTTTCACGTTGTGCAAATAAGTGTGGTTTGCCATGTTTCCGTCCATAGCCAGAAGGATCTGACTGTGCCAGGGTCTCCCTCTGAAGAAGAAGCCCGACTGCGGTGAGCTGTGTCACTGGCACCAAACCTGTGGGTCTGAGTCGAGCTCGTTAGCTGATTATCCCTACTCCTGTCCGAAAGGCAGCGTCTCTCCAATTCTGCCCACCATATCCACCTGTCTTGGCAGGTAGAAAGGATTTAATTTTGTGAACATGAAGATTAGAGACTTGCCTTCTCCCATGAAATAGGGTCTCTGCTTTTGACCCCATGGGGCCTTTCTCTGCGCCAGCTCCTGGGGTGCTAAGTTTCTCCAGAGAGCTAAATCCTAGATTGTCAGGTAACCTCATGTGGTACATCAGTGACCTAGATGATGTTTTTCATATACAAACACTATTAATACACCTCTCTCTCAGTCACAGATCTCACACTATCTCCAGAGGATGCAGTGGTTTATGTATCTCACTGATAAATCTGAAAGGAAATGCCAAAAAAAAGAAATCCTGGCTGCTGTTTGTTTTCAGCATTTGTCTGGCAACCACCATATTTTATTATTTCAGTAAAAAGAAAATTCCATGCTCTCATGTAGAAGAATCTGCTAATAAAAACAAAGGAGGGAAAAGAAACCACTGGATTTGTCTCGCTTCGCAAAGCAGAGGGACATGAAGATCTTTCAGGGGCTCTACTGTCCTTCACAAACGGTTATGTAGCACAGGGTTTTTGGGTTTAACACAAGCCCCCTTTCACATTTAGCTTTTGCTCCTTTTCTTTTTTTCCCCCTATATCCCAGTTGTATTAGCTGGTTTAATATGAGCCATTATTCTTCCTGCAAACCTCACCTCCCACTGCAGTTAAGGGACACGCCAGTAAAGCCACAGGATGTGATGAAAGATTTTATACGGTAGGAACGAGATATGTGTGTGTGGGGGGGGTTGTATTGAGCAGCCGGCAGCAAACTCCATTTCACAGGTGAGAGGAGCTGTGAAAAGAAGAGCAAGTGGTTTGGAAGGGGAGATCTTTGTAGATCCGTGAAGGGAAGCAGAGAGAGAAGACTCGAGGGCATCAGGTAGTTGCTATTGGAAAATCTGCAGCAAGTTGTGGAGGACGGGTGCCTGGTGGGTAAGACGAGGCAGTGAAAGCTGCGTACTGGGCTCCTCAGGGTGTCTCGAGTCTGGAGTTCTGCCAGTGCTTCTGTAACTGCTGTTAGGGAACCACCAGCACTCTTTTTCCAAGGGAAGAAGATTAAAATAGCTGTGTGTTTCTGGTCAGAAAATTGACGCCAGATACACCCTCCTCCCGTGCTGTCTCCTCCTTGTTTTTTTGAAGTACTGGTATTGTGTTTGGACATAAAAAGTGTTAAATTGCCTAGTTGCTTGTGTTAGGACCAGTTCCTGCTCCAGCCCCCTCTGCTCTGTGCTGATATATTGTTGTCTTCTGCGCTCAACAGGTACCTCTGTCCCAAATTGCTTTCAGTGCTTCACCCCCTCCTCAGATCCTGTACAACCCTGCCCAGCAGATCCTGACATACGCTGGCTTTTGTCCTTCTGCAGCAACTATTTCTACATATCCATCCTACCCGTTACCTCTTCAGGTACAGTACAAGATGGCACCCTTCTTACTCCCATTAGAAAAGCGTAAGCTGCTACTCAGCGCAAACTCTGCAGTGGTAGATCTTGGCTTCTGGGGGTTTGAAACGAGGCAAGGAAGTTGGATCCCCCCTCACAGACTTAGTCTGGGCCTAGTTTTCAGGTCTGTCCTCAGATCTCAGGCTCTTTCTGGTTGTTCTCTGGGCTCTGTCTGCTGACCAGGAATCCCAGTGTGGGATGGGAGCTGCGCTACAGTAGTCACGAAGGTGAACACAGCCCCCATGCTTGGCAAGAGGCAGAGGCATGAGGTGAAGCCAAAGGAAGCATCTGACACGCACAGGGTTTGGCAGCAAAGTTTACACACCTTAGCCCACCTTACTCTTAAATACGGAGGTAAATAGATTAGGACTCATCAGATGGAAAGGGGACAAGGAAGGAAAGGAATTAAGAGGTCTGTGATGTCGAGTGATATGGAAGGGATTGTGGCTGGATATTAGTGATAAATTCTCATCGAACAAAATTTTGGTTGCAACCAGTGTCAGGTGGCAAGATAAGCCAGAAATAGGCAGTGTTTTTACACACCAGAGAAAGTTTAAATGCTACAGGATGTTGTGGAAGAGTCTAAATGAGGGGTTAGGGGATTAGTCCATCAGTTGCTTTTAAACTCAGGGATTCAGGTGTCACTGCAAGCCCCCAGATGGCTGCCTGCCGCAAAAACCAAGGGTGTTCATCAGAAAATGGAGCTTTTTTTCTAGGATTTTTGGTCTTCCTATAAGCATTTGCTCAGGCCAGTGCTGGGGACAGGTATACAGCTGCTGTGGCAGTTGGTGGAGGTTGATGAGCCTTATTGACCAGTGGCAGCTGGTCTGAAGGCAGGAGGGAAAGCTGCCAGAGGTGCAGCTTTCTTCCCTTGCGGGCAGGCATACAACATGAGCTGAGTCAACATGGCTTCACCTCCTGCAGAAGGATGAGGTGCATACCAAGCACAAGTATTGGGACATGGTGATCATCTAGCCCAGTGAATTGTTAGCATGCTCCTGGTATGGAGTTGGCCCAGACCACCCAACAGTCTCCCAACAACACCCAGGAAGGGGTGAGGAGACAGCAAGGGCAATGAACCATTCCTGGTAGGTCGTGTGCATACAGTCATGCTAGTTTGGTGGTAAGAGTTCAGCTGTAGCAATATGTGCTGTGTCAGTTGACTTCACAGCCAGAGAACAGTCCTTGGCACATCTTTTTTTATTAACATTAATGTGGCCAGGCAACCATGGGTTGCAAGGAAAAAAAAGAGCACACTTGCAGTTCTCTTTTTTATTTGCTTTGCTGGGCTGTTTTGCAGAGTTCAGTTAGCACATAGCCAAGGATAGGGAGAGAAGGGGATAAAATAAATGAAAGAAAGCAATTAAGCTGAAAAGTTGCGTGTAAGGAGTCAGGATCAATTGCAACTGTTCAGTCCTGAGTCCACTTAGAAACAGAAATGCATATTTACCCCAAATTCTTAACTGCATTCCAAAATAAACACAGTTCTTTTCCTAGATTTCTGCTTTTTCTAAGTGTGGTCATTTTTCTCTCTGCTTCACAACATTCAGAGGCAGACACCACCAGCTGTCCCCAGGCCAGGAGAGGTTAGCAAGAAGCACTGGCCTTCACAAAGGAGAGCGCTTCATCCTTTTCTGGGCGGGGGGTCGGGGGTGGGTGGAGCAAGCCAAGCAAGCTGCCGTCTTGTATGTATGAGCTCATTATGTTGTAGTGCGGAGAGAATTAATTTCTGCATCAGTATATGAGCTAAAAGATCATAATAGACTTACTCAAAGCTACAAAAGAGTGAATGTTAGAAGCAGGCCTAGTTAGGAACAGCCAGAAGCTTAACCCTCATCCAGTTCCATTACTCAGGAGCTGTGGGCTGAATCCATGGGGCTGGAGGTAGGTCTTCATGACCCACCTAAGTGCTCCAAGCAGTGCCCAGCTGCTGGATTCTGGCCTTCACAAGCCTTGCTCAGCTGCTCCTGGTCCTTAAGGCAACTATAGGACCTGGGGCTGAGATTCATCTGGCTAAACGCAGGGGCTGTTGGCATGTAGAGACCTAGTGCTGCCTGACAATGAGACCAGGTAGCCACCTGGCTCCTGCTGTCCCTCTCTCTGGAAGGGTCCAAGCCCTGTAGTTCATGTGTCACATCTCTGTGGAAGTCTGGGATGTCCCATGGCATCCCAAAAGGGCTGGGCACTTACACATGGGCAGCTGAATTGAGCTCCAGCTGTCCATAGTGTAGGACACTTCACCTGAGCTGGTCTACCCTTCCGAGTCCACATGTGGATTATCTCAGGCTAAAGATGTGTGATGTGAGTGCTACAAATGCACCCTAAAGACCTTTCCACTGAGAAGGAGTGGGATTCATGTCACTACAGGTCACTCTGCACTTAGATATCTGTGTACTGAGCATTCAACTGAGACATCAAAATCTGAGGCTGTGCCCTGTATCCTAGGGGTGTAGTTCAGGTGCCTAAAGATACGGCATCTGCAATGAGCTAATGTTCACAGGACATCCATACAGGGCTGGCTGACGTGGGCCAAGGTCTACACGAGACTCTCACATATTTCTGGGGCAACTGGCAGAGGGTGTCCCTTTAGCATCTCAAAAGGTGTAATGTTTTTGCTTTCACATAGACCAAGCTCCACATAAGGGCGCTTCTCAGCGTTCCCTTTGGCTCACTGAAGCTTTGGCTAAGCACCGTTCCTAAGCCCCTGCATGTCACATTACCCCATGCCAGGATCACACACGTGGTGATTCAGTACAACAGGAGAAGTAAGACCTTCTTCAACTAAGGGGAAAAAAATAGTGAATTGATGCTAGTTAATGAAGTAAAGCAGTTAGCAGTTACAAACTAATAGAATCACAGAACGGTTTGGGTTGGAAGGGACCTTAAAGACAATCTAGTTCCAAGCCCCCTGCCATGGGCAGGGACACCTTCCACTAGGTCAGGTCACTCAAAGGCTCCTCCAGCCTGGCCTTGAACACTTTTAATAACTCCAGTTTGAACCCTCACCTGAACCTGAGAAAATCTACAGCTGTAGTTCCGCCTCTTGGGAACGTATCCCACCTTGGATTAGTCTGGCATGCAATACGCCTAGCCTAAGCGCTGTCCCCACTTGCGTGGAATGAAGCTGCATTAGCTCAAAGGCTATGAACCTGAGTTCACCTGTGGCTCCCACCACGGAGCAGATTCATTCCTCACCCTCTGCTGACCCCAGTATCCCACTGAATAACTTGCTGGAGGGGCAGTGTCATTAAAAAAAAAAAATCACAACTGAAGCTGGTGGTAAATGCTCCTCAGTTCACCTCACGCTTCCTTGTCCACAAGCAGCGATCAGCCAAATGCAAAAACAGAAAGGGTGACAACAGGAATATACTTCGACAAGGATGTAACCAGCATGCCTTTTGTTTACTGTGGCATGTGCTAACAAAATCATTCATCCCTTACTGGTGCAGTTCAGTCACAAATAGTCTTGGTAACAGGCCTGCCAACTGGTCAGGTAAATGATTAGCTGTGCAGGGACTGGTGATGACAGCAGTCAGGGCTGTGCCCGTCATTCCAGCCACAGGAGAACTCACTACAGAAGCAATTCCAGGCAGACAGATGGAAACAGTTGCTGCAGTTTGATGGAGAAGCAACAACTCCAAAATAAATTAAAAAAAAAAACCCCAAACCACCCAAAACCCCAACAACTACATTTGATCTAGCTAGCAGGTCTGTCCGGACACCTGCACTGCCTTCTGGGGAGTTAAAGGGCATAATCAACCTTCCTGTCAGGACGTCCCCATTCTCATTCACTAAGTCACCCTGTGGTACAAATGCAGGACGACATTCTCCTGGCCATGGGGGTTTGACCCAGGGCAGCAGCCCCTGCTGACCTGGGAACCCCACGGAGAAGCCAGGTACCATGGCATGGGGTCTGCCAGCCCCGGACAGCTCTGGGATGCCATTGTCCAAAAGTGCCAGCCCTGGTACTGGCCTTCTGTATAGTGGCTATTAATTTTTTTAGCAGCAGGGAGCAGCATTTACTTGCCCAGATTTTACGTTTCCCTTGAAAAAGATCCACAATTACTATTTTTTGGTGGGGTTTTTTTGTTTGTTTGTTTGTTTAATTCTAGGCATTTTAGGCCTGAACCAGGAGGGAGCTGAGCACAGTTCTGATGAAGCCCATGGACTGGCATGTGCTGACATATGAGGGGAGGAATGAAATTCTGACCCTCTTGAAATCAATGGCAAAACTTAGTTTAAAGTAGTGGTAGGATTTTATCCGGAACATTAGTGCCTACATGCATTCTTTTGTTTTAACAAAAACTCTGCTTGTTCCCGAACATGGGCTGCTTCCTAAGCTCTATTTTTCATGCCTCTTTCAGGCAAAGCCCCATTATAGCTGAGACAACCAAAGTGAAAGACCTACAGGGAGACACGTGTACTGGGGAGTGTGCATTTGGCACAGGAATAAGACCTTGCATTTATGCAATTATAATAGCTGAGATATAGATTAGTTACATCTGAGTTAAGTTACATTTCACAGTGATGCCTGGAAACGAGCAGCTACACATAACCTCACCAGCCAGTCAGGTGCAGTGCCTCACCCAGGAAGCCAGAGCATCTTTTCCTGCAGAAATTCCCGTTGGGTTCTATCACCGAGCTGTAGGCACAACGTCTGTTACAAATGACTTGGGTTACAGATGGAATCCGCCTTCTTTTACTAGACACCATCACTGCTATCCTTAAGTAGGTGCTTTAAAACTGAAGCGAGTGTCGTGCTGCAGCGCACGAGAAACTTAACCGTGGGGCTCATTATACAACACTGAGGCAGCGAACACCGCAGAGCTGCAAACGGGGTTGTAATCCTTTACTGAAGAAGCTGCCTGTCTTTGTCTCTATGCAGCCTGCCAGCACTTTTCCAGGAACATCATCAACTGACATTTCATTATCAGAAGAAACTCAGCCTCCATCTCAGTCCAGCTCCAGCTATGGTCTTCCCCCCAACGCTCCAGCCCTCTACACACCGACGTACTTCTTGCCTGGTGAAAAGCCTCCACCGTACGCACCGTAGAACGAAGTATTTATTTGAGCTAGCTGGTAGGCTTTTATTTTGTTTTCACGAATCCTCTGGAAAGTGTGCGGTGCAGGCACTAGACTTCCCAAAGAACCCAGCGCAGAGTGTGTTATGGACACTCTGCTTCTACCTGCGTCTCACTGTGAGCAGAGCAGGGCCCTGGGAACATAAGGGCAGGCACGTCCCCGGCCCGGTGAGCAGTCACCGCCCAGGCTGCCTGCAGTCGTACGCAGCGTTGCTTTCTGGCTGCCGTGAGCACACGACGTCTTCTCTTTGGAACACTGAGGAATGAGTTTTCTTCAAGAGGAGAAATGAGGAAGATACTCTGGAGCCGTGTTCTGCTTTCACAAACCAACATAGACGGGTTCTAGTCTGTGCTGTCTGGAGTGGGTTGTTGGGAGCTCTCAGAGTCAATCGTTTTGGCTAGGAGGAGACCTCCAGGTGTTTGTTTGCTTGTAGTATTTATTCAATTACCCTTTTCGGTGAAAGTGTGAAAAAAAAGCGTGGCAATTATTTTAAAATAAAATTGACTGTGTATATTTATGGTGTACCTAAGGCTGTGTATATTTGTAAGGACAGGAAAACAGAACAACAGAGGAGAAGTACCCTCCGGAACAGTTCTCTCTTTCAAGTTTCAAATATAAAGGTTAACCTCACTGGGACTATTTCATCCAAACTTTGTGCCAGTCTAGACTGCACAGTACATTGTCATGTCAGTGTGCTAGAGATGCAATTTCCAGGCAGGTATTTAAGCTGCGCTTTAGTGTTTGAATTAATGCCTTTCTAGTCCAAAGAGGACCACAACCAACACCACTCCATGTTAAACCCCCGTTACTTATTTTTGAACTGCTTAAAACCCGATCCAGGCATTTTACAATGACTGGAACAGAATGGATGAAGGCTCAGAATTCCTTCTTTCTAAAAAAAAATTATTTTCTCCTATTGTATAGAGACAAAAATATGTTGACAGGGCTAAGCAGCAGTACCTGTAGCAGCACCATTGACAGGAGCAAAGTCTTGTCCCTGTCCCGTGCATCCAGTCCCCTTGCCACATATCACATTAGCTGGCATCCCTAACAGCACACGGCTGCCGTATTTCGGGGCTGGAGTGGCAACACCGGCATGAAAACCCATCAGCTTGCTGCATCCCTTCGCTGCATTTTGCTCCCGCAGGAAGGGCGGCTGTGCTGCTTTGCTCTATAGATCTTAAAGTCTAGACAGCAATGAAGCTATAGAAATTTCCTGAAAGGCCAAAGAGCAAAGCAGGAAAAGGAAGGAATTTCTCATTAGCTTTTCAAGCCGCTGCTTCGTATTATGAAAATATTAAAAAAAACCTTACGTAAACAAAGCCAGCCTACTTGACAGTTTCTTTTGGAAGGAAGTGACACCATCAGACCAGCTGAAAATAGAACAAAGAATGAGCAGCCTTTTACATAATACTTTCCACCTTTCAAGAAATTCCATATAATTCCTGTGTCGTACCTCCGTGCATAAAAAGCAGATTCAGTACTAATATGCATAAGATCAGAGGTTAATTCATATAGACATTAAAACTGTATTTTACTCAAGTGAGAAGGATTTTCTGAGACACAAGGTTTGAGGCCAGCGATGTTAACGTTGGCGATGAGGTGAACACGTGTAGTGTTTACAAGGTGAGTTACAGGAGTCTGGTTAAGAGAAACAGAAGCCAGAGAAGAGACTATTATTTTTCCTTTAAACGTGAATTTCACGCCTCCAAAACACTTGGTTCTTGTGCAAATGCACGCTGTGAAGAGCACAGTGACCCTGATCTCATGAAATCATGATCACATTTAATTCTTACTTACAGTGAATACTCCCAAGGGAACCACCTGGGTTCATTTTGGGGACTCAAAGCCCAGAACAGACTTGCTCCTTTTGAGTTGAGGGCCTAGGCTGCCCACAGGGCCAAAGTGAAATCCCTATTTCTCTTGGCTCGAAGCACAGCGACTGAGGAGGAATGAAGGAATGCTTATCACTTTTTTCCACTTTTCAATGGAATATGGAGGCAGCTGCCTTTTCTTCCAGCGTGGTACTGCTGTAGGGTGTTAAAACCCAATCCAGCTTGACACAACAGACCCCCACTTTCTTAACTCTCCAGACGTACAAACTCCACCTTTCTCTTCTAAACTGCATTTTGGGTGGGGGGGTGTCACGGTCTATGCTAAATACCTTTGCATACATGCACACATGTGCACAGTCCAGGAGAACTTTTTACTCTGAATTAGATTGGTTTAGAAAATTTAATTACAGTCTTTTTTTACATAATATTAAGTCTGTAATTGCAAAGTACCATACTGTACCACAGGATCCAAAATAATTCTTGCCTCATATATAGTACCACTTAAGTTAACACAAAGGTCAGACATGTTTGTGATTCATTTATGCCATACAGTAGCTTTTTGGGAACTACCACAGAAAGGATCGAAAAATGCCAGGAATAAGACTGTTTTGCTAACAGGCTTCCTTTGAAAAGAACAAAGCAAAACGGGGTTTGTTTCATCTACTTGGTTTGAAAAATAGTAGGTGTCTTCCAAGTCTGTACTGTTTTCATGAGCTGCTCCAAGTTAAAAAGATGGAGGTGTGTTTTGGTAAAGGACTAAATAACCATGAAGCACACTTGGAAGACAAAACACCGCAGTGTGGAAGTGCTATTAACCACAGTCTCGTCAGGATTCCCTGCTCTCCCTGGAGATACCGAACTAACGTTTCTTGGGTTCTCCATCATATCACAAGTTGATCCAGAAACATCAACTCTGACAGAAAGCATTCTCCAGAATAACGTGGTTTCCCTTGCTCAACACAAAAAGCAAAACCATAGAACTACTTTTGGGTTTTCCTATCCATGCAAACTCCGCCAATCAGTTATTATTGTCTAGTGAACAACTGTCCTTTCAAACTTGCATCCGGTCATACCTGAGCGTAAAGAGTCTTTTGACGGGTCCTTCTGTAACTGAGAGAGGTTGGTTGAAAGCGATGAAGCGCTGGTCTTTTCTGCCTGAACTGCCTTACTGCTGACTGATTTGGTCATGATGCGGGGCTGTGATGTCATGCTGTCCAATGGCAAGGAGAGTACCTTCCTCTTCTCTGCTAAATAAAGCAGGGATCCTTACCAGCAGATAGGTTTGGGATAGTCTTCCCCCTCTTCCGTCCTTTCCTCTTGGACAGCCTGTATCCCCACAGCTGGGTCACAGATGTTGTCACGTGTGGATTATTAGGCTAATCTGTCATCTGCCTAGGCAAAACATGACGTAGAATGACCAGGAACAATTTATAGAGGACCTTGTAAAATCAGACCTTTTCCACCTTAACCCTTGGAAGCGTAGGGTAACCTTAGCCACCCAGTATTCGGACTTCTACCACAGCATATATCTATCTCAGTTCATTAACCTGACGCAAGACAAGGACCGAACGAAGCCAGATTCAAGCACCTCGGAGCAGGCTAGGCAAAGCCCACCCCACCTTCACGAGAAATGTCTTAAAAGTTGAGTGCACTTTATGGCTCTACAACCTCCCCCGAGTAAACCCCCACGCATACTCTCACCACGCTGCAAATCGGCCTCGCTAACTCTCACAGTCTCAAGCCACTCTGCTCCCTCTAGGCTCACAGGGAATGAGCCAACCTGAAAAATGAAGCAGCAAAAATATGTCATCGCCAGATAATATTCCCCAGTTCTTGACACCTCATCATTTGCTTCAGCGGTTATTGACACAAAAGCCATATGGCTTTCAACTTATTGAGTCTTTTCTCCTAATTGTTTCCTGGTGACACAACTTTGGTTTCCATTTTCTGTTGACCAAGAGTTTTTCTAAAGGTCACAACTGAGTTTTCTATCTGCGGTACCAGGAAGAGAAACTCTAGCAACAAGAACAGCAGCAACCACTTACTCTCCAGCCCAGAAGATATGTAATACGGATATAAGCACATAAACTCCCCCACCTCCAAACAAATAAACAAAAAGAAGAAACCCCACCAGTGTAATCTCCGCATCAGGCATAGCCTGAGTTGTCATCTTCCAATAACAGAATACAAATCTCAGTACAGGTAAATTAAAAACTTGTATGTAAATATTTTATTCTCTCATATTTTGCAAATCAAAAAGCAGTGCTTGGTAATAAAAAAATCATACAGAATTATTTTTCTTCCAGTCCACACTCATATATTACCAGGTTTTCCACATTACAGATAGAACCGTCTCTTACCAGTCATTCACTTCCGGTATATTCTGTACTTTTGGCTTATTTAATATTAGTCTTTTGAACTATTTACAAATATATTACAACCTTTAAACCTCAAAGCAAAGGAGTATTTCAATAACCAATCTGAAATAGGGATCAGTAGCTCCTACATAACTTCAGTGTTTAAGAGAAACTATACACGCAGTGCGGTAGGTCTGAATAATTTATGTCTTTTAAAAAAAAAAAAAAAAAAAAAAAAGCATTGAAAGTTTCTTCTGAATATAAAACTTTCGCATTGCAGAGGTACCTACTGACCCGCCTCGACTGGAGGGCAGGAGTGTGAGGTGATGTCGCTGTGCTTGTAGAGAGCCTCATCCAAGTCCAGTGCCTTGTCGCCCAGCTTGACGGTCATGCAGCCGTGGTAGGATGCGGTGACCGGAGTGGAAATCACAGAGACGTCTGCGTGAAAGGGGAGACAAACATCTCTGATGGCTGGTTTTCAATAAATACCTGCCCTCTCTATGCTCAGGTGAGCATCATTTCGGTGAATTCAAGCTCTCCTTCACTCTGGGATTTCCACCTCACCCCTCTCACCAGAAGGCAAGAGCACAATCCCAGACGTGGGGAAAACTCCAGCTGCTCTCGTGCACAAAAGTCCTTCTCCCAGGCTGAACTCTCCCTCAGCTGCTCTGTGTCCCTGCAAGGCCTCCAGTCCTGATGCACAGTGGCATGGCTTCACTGCAATTGCACACTCTCTTCACGCCGCTTTCCACCTTGACGTTTCCCCCTGCTACGTCCCT